TGGCGTCATAGACACAAATGATGCAGACATCTCCTGCTTCAGATGCTCTAGCAGCGCGATTTTGTAGTTCAAAAACGCCTATAGACGCGCACCGATTGCCTCGGGGCCTTGCGCCTCAAGATGTTGCACGCTCTCAGGGCCAAGCAAGGACATCAGCTTGTTAAGCCCGTCCTGCATGCGCTGGGGCAAAGAGGAAAATTGTTTCATCCTCACAGAGGACCAGTCAAAACGATTCAGGTGTAGATTGACTACAAGTGCTACCAAGTGCAGCGGTTATACCGTAGCGTTGCGCTCAGAGGAAGCGTAGTTTAGGTCACCGACCTTCCGTTCTATACTTAGAACAAGTACGAGTTAGCAGATCGCAATCGCTTACTCCAAGAGTAGTTATTGCCTTGGCCCAAGGCTAATTACTCTTCCGTTTAAAATCCAACACTGTTTTTTTAATTTCTATCAACGGCAAAGCCGCCTAATTTTAAATGTATAGATTTTCCTAAATATATAGTAAAATTTAAATGCATGCATAACTACTGGCTACCCAGCCACATACCGTATTCCTGTTTGGGTGCAGTCACACCATGCCCATCTCGTGTGAAACACACACCTGTTACCAGTGTACGTGTAACCCCGTTACAGTAATTATACACATTGACTAGGTTTTTCTATATCAATTAGGAACACCTAAGGTTTTAGATTTAGACGGCTCTGCCCCAAATGATATAAAGAAATACAGTTTCAACTCAATTTTGAGCAAAATATTTGCCTTGGTTAAGGTTTTGGGGACTCTTGGAGGTAGCGACTATACTCGTACTGGTTCTGGTATAGAACGTAAGGTCGGTGACCTTAGCTAAGCTTCCTCTAAGCAAAGAGTTAAGGCAGCCCCCTGCAGCCATACACCTTACACAGGTGATGCTTAAACTCAAAGATTCCGAGTTAACGCACAGAAAATGGATTTGTACGCTTCACCTAGGAGCGAAATCGAGAGCCCTCAAACAGCTGGGTATCTATATGCTATTATTTGATTTAAATGGTGACATATACATTCAGAACTAAGTGATTTAGTCCCGAAACTAAATATATCGGCTTTAATAGACTATATGTATTGCATGACATGAGCAGGCCTCTCTATATACGGAATATTC